AGTCTAGATCTTTCCTTCTCCATTGCATCATCATTACATCATCACAACACATCATTACTCAGCACATTTATTTTGTATATAAGTATATTAATTTGTATGTAAGTCAGTCAGTCAAGTTCAGTTCAGATCAGAGTTATACAGCAATACACTGCCTCTCTCACTGGCTCCGTGTTCTCTGCACGTTAAATAAGATTCGTCGAAGCGAACACCAACGATGGAAAGTCATAGGATATGATAGGAACCATTGCAATTCTTGCTAAATAAAAGCGTTCCTATAATGGTGACCACGACGTGACACGCAAATCCATCGTTGGTCAATTCTACTTCAACTACAACATCAATTCTTCGATGGCATCAGACACATCAAGTTTTTCATCAACAAGGATTCGTCAACATCAACTCAGCCACACACACACAACGCAACTCATTTGGATTCATGGACAACCATCAGCACTCGACTCACCGTAGTGCTCTTCAACACAAGCAACAAGCACTCGACTCACCGTAGTGCCCTCAAACACATCGCAGCACCCGACTTACCGTAGTGCCCTCAACGCATCGCAGCACTTGACTCACCGCAGTGCCTCCACGCAACATCAACGCTCAATAACTCCTCAACAAGCTGGTTCCTGGTCATCCAACGTAAAAACCTTGCACAAGTCTCCGAATTCACGAACAGAAGAAAACACTGGTTACGCTCGAACTCTCATTGATTTATAACGGTTGGACATTTAGATTTCGAACAATTAATTTTTTTTATCGCAATTCACTCATATTTTAATTCATCGATTTTACAACATTCAAATTTATTCCTAGTACTTTTCCTCTTTCGTATCGAATGCTTCACAACCGCTTGCATTCTAAGGGGGGAGCTATTGTAGTGATTTTAATATTGTAAATTAGGCCATATTCCTACTTCATGCCATCACCATGACATCCAACTACGTCATTCACAGCATCACCTAGCACATGACATTCCCTTCACCATTGATCACACGTTCACACATCTATGTCATGCTGATTTCTTCCCAAGTCTAGATCTTTCCTTCTCCATTGCATCATCATTACATCATCACAACACATCATTACTCAGCACATTTATTTTGTATATAAGTATATTAATTTGTATGTAAGTCAGTCAGTCAAGTTCAGTTCAGATCAGAGTTATACAGCAATACACTGCCTCTCTCACTGGCTCCGTGTTCTCTGCACGTTAAATAAGATTCGTCGAAGCGAACACCAACGATGGAAAGTCATAGGATATGATAGGAACCATTGCAATTCTTGCTAAATAAAAGCGTTCCTATACAGTTACGAAATTTTATAACACTAACAACAAAAATTTGGCCTAGTTATCATATGAAAAGCTTGGAAACAACAACACAGGCAAAAAAATTCCTGATACAAATAAATGCAGTAAAAAGGGCACATACCTTGTTTTGCAGAGCAGCGATATCTCGTTCAATGCTGTTAAGCTTTCTTTGCAGAGAAATGACGGATGCCAAATCAGTACCGACCTCCTCTACTGTTTTCAAGATTCCTGTCTTCTCTATAATAAGGGTCTACAGCGAAGAAAGTATAAGCGATAACTAACAAACTTTCCAGACTTTAGATCATTCTGAAGAGCACATGATATAAAAAATTATTTCAACAAATTCATCTCCGGATTCTAAATGTCTAGACTCTAAATTTCAACCTCGAATAATCATTCAAACGACTCGAGCCAGCCATTGCGGTACTAAATCTGTAACAATATTCTGTAACAAAATTAGAGAAGGGAATAAAACGTTTCAGTTTATCAAAGCATCTCAATTGGAAACCAGTACTCTTTACCGCCACCAAAGGCTATTAGTGTCAGTTGTCATTCCCATTCTTAATTATCTTCTAATACAAATCGAATAAAAAAGATAATAAATATACCCAGCGTTTTGAAAATCTAAGGTGGACATCGAAAAAGGTTTTTGTGAGAAGCTTTGAATACTGAAAACACAGGAGACAGTAGGAGGAAGGAAAATAAGTCATAAGGCATCTTTACGTTAACGAAAGAAGATACCAAATGAATTGGGGGTACAATGCCTGACAAAAGTCTTGGAACACTGACATCAATTTCCAAGGTCAAAATCAATAATCCCCCTCTCCCCTACAGAAAAATGTTGGTTTACTATCAAACGGGTTAGGATTTTAGGAAGCACTTTCTTTTGCGCTTCTTTTATGATATTTCTCAGTAGCAATTTTTTTCATGAAAGGAATGAAAGATATCAAATGCAGCGTAAATTGCTGGGTGTTCCAAGTACTTTTGGCAGGTATTGTAGTCACCAAGAAATAGAGCTGGTAGCAATTCTTCTAGATCAAAATTTCACTGCTATAT